TGTATGTAAAAATATATTTATTAATGTTAATTACAAGTTTTATTCATAATATTGGTTATTAAGTATGTATATTATGCATTTTGAAAATAAATTTTGCAAAATAAAAATCAAAACATTTTAGGATTTTTTATTTAAAGCCTCTAAGGTTATTTTAAATTCGCTGTGAAGAGAATGCAACCCTGAGCCGGCAGAAGGGGGCAATGCTAGACGAGTGCAGCTATATGTTTTCCTTACGAAGTATCTGAATGAGTGCGACAGTGATGCAAGGCTCACACGTACAGGGGGAAAGTGGTGACAATCTGCACACCGCCCATACAAATGTCACCAGTTTTGTCACCAGTTTTGAAGTGACCGAAACCCGCGGTTTCACCAGATTTTTCACCACTTTTGGCTGGCAGGGTACATGGTACGACATCATGCATGGCTGTAGCTGAGTGTGCAAATACGCTTGATACAATTGGTTGCTACCAAGAGCGTCCGGGTTCAATTACCATCAGACGGAACATAAATTTTTTTCTTCTTAATTTTAATTTCGTATAACGAAAAAGCTTCTGTGCACTTCACAACGACATATTTTATAACGTACATTCTCAAATTTAAAACGAGTTGGGTTGGTGCTCTTTCATATGCGTATTTTTTTNTATGCGTATTTTTTTTAAATTTAGCACGTTTTTTTAATTCTAAAATTGTTTTCCCTCAGTGTACATATATATAGCGCGGTCATAAGAGCACATCATTGCTCCACTATGAGCGCGCTATCGCATGATCCATTTTGCTTATAGTTCGTGGATGTTGCTCCCAGAGTGAGTGATTTAGATAAATTTTGAATTATAAGGTGCGTTCACTCATGCCGGCCCGCTATGCCATATCCGTGGCATAGGAATCCCCATAGTCAATAAATGATCCGCATAGAAGTGACGATAAATGATAAACGCCGCTGTTGCATATATAGTTTCTTTGCTGTCTTGATGTTACTGTGGTATTTGTTGGTATCTGTTGGGGAACAAAAGAAAAAGAGGCTACCCTGCAAAAAATCGGACTATTCCGGGACGACTCTGGGAGCAATTGCAAAGGAGCATGCGACTAATACCACTTTTGATCTCTTTATATGGAATGAACTGATCGCTTTTGTTCGAGCATGTCCTATGAAGAGATTAGTTGTTCACCTTTATACCCGAACGGGTATAAAAAGCAACTAGTCGCTTTTAAAAAGTAAAAATAAAAATTTGCGCTGGCTGAGATTCGAACCGGGGTGCTCAGTTTTGTTAGGCGAATACTCTATCTGTGTGCCAACGCCGCACATGAAGTTTCATTGACTAAGTGCGTACATATCATTAAATCGTTAATAGTACCCGTTAGAGATGAGTTGGGGACTAATTGATCTCCAATTATACCCATAAGGGATGAGTCGAGACTAATTGACCTCCATTAGTACCCGTATGAGACTAGTTGGGACTAATTAATGCCCAATTGTACCCGATTGAGAGTAATCTCGGAATACTCTCTTTAGAGATTAGTCGCACAATTTTTTGCAGGGTATTTATGTTACGAGAGTGTGTACTACAATGAGTGCTCATACGGTGTATCGATGGGTAGACGAGAAATCTTCGACACGCAACGTTTATAATTTCCATTTTTGGTACGAACGGTAACAACACGCAGCAAGTCATCGCTTCCAGGATGCGTATCGATGATTCTTCCAAGTATCCATTAATTCGGTGGTAAACGATCGTCTTTCACGATGACGAGATCATTTACTCTCAAGTNGCAAGTCATCGCTTCCAGCATGAGTATCGATGATTCTTCCAAGTATCCATTAATTCGGTGGTAAACGATCGTCTTTCACGATGACGAGATCATTTACTCTCAAGTTAGGTTGTTGATTGCACCACTTGGGTCGCGATTGTAAATGACTAAGCCAATCTGTAGACCAGCGCTTCCAAAATCGTCGAAGTTGTCGTTGTAATTTAAAATATTGTGGAGTAGGCGAGACATCTAAAATAGCTGGTTCAGGTGGAGCAAGTAATGAATCGCCGATCAGAAAATGGCCAGGGGTTAATACGGCTAGGTCGTCACTGTCTGTTGTAAACCCGCACAGCGGTCGAGAATTTAGGCACGACTCAATTCTTGCCAGTACTGTGGATAGTTCGTCAAATGTGAGCGGTGTACCATAACAAATACGTTTCAAATTATGTTTAGTGCCNGTTTGCAAATACGTTGCAAATGATGTTTTAGTGCCTTTACATTTGCTTACCATAATCCCCCAAAATTTGGCGAATGTGGCGGGTTAAAATGCCATTGCATGCCTTTGTTAGCCAAAAAAAGTACAATATCACTTTGAAATGAGTCATGAAATTTTTGTGCTTGTATTTTAAGGACCTTGTCAGCACCAGTGGCGTAGCCACGGGGGGGGGGGGGGGGATATGGGGGATAGATAGATATTTACATTTGAATTAATAACACAATACTATTTTATCCTTCTGATTTAAAATTTTTTTTTTATTTCAGACGGATGACAAATTATCTTTTAATGATTATATGAGTAGTCCACTTGCAAAGAGCGTTATGTGATTTTATAAAAGTAAACCATAAATTAAAAAAAACCGTCTACGACAACAAGTAACATCCGAACTGTATCTTTTTTTATTACCTGAAAATTTGGATAAATAAGACCCTAATACCATTAAAAAAATAAAATTGCAGTATGGTAGATTTGCAACTTTTATATATAAAAATTTAATATAGCGAGTTTTGAAACAGTAACTTTTACATAGCTAGCTTTTTTTTAGCTTTTCGCGTTCTCTCCTCTAGGAAGATTGGTTTGCTTCTTTTTTGCGACCTCTT